GGGGCAGCATGAATACGAGCAATTTTTATTTTATTTTTTTTGCCGATGCCCGTGATGCCGCCCCGGGCAATAATAATAATAATAATAATAATAATAATAATAATAATAATAATAATAATAATAATAATAATAATAATAATAATAATAATCCTCGTGTTTGATTTGTTGCAGGTGAGAACATTGTTCATCATCCAAATCTGAATCAGGTGTTCACAGTCGACCCTGCTGCGCCTCCCGTCGAAGGTAAACACAGCAGATGAGACGGTAATCCGCGACAGTGGAGAAGGCCTTTCACCCAAGCTCTAATTCACGTGGGGTTGATTCACAGATCAGAGAGGATTAGACACGATGGGAGGACAGAGATAGTATTCCTAAGCATGCTCGTGTGGTTTCAGTGTGTGTTAGCGTTGGTCTTTTAAATATGCCCTGCAGCTGGCACACATTTAGATTTTGGCGTTTTGCTTTCCTCAGAGGATTTGAGAGATACAAGATTCACACATTTATATTTTCTAGAAAGAAAGACAGACAAGAAGGAAGAGAGACTACCATAGTATAGACAGAAGCGTGCACTGTATTTAAGTCCTAGGAGTAGCTATTGCATAAGTTGTTGTGGTCACACAGCCCTCTTTATTAAGTAGAGAAACCGTTTAAAGAACGCACTGTACACACAAGGTGTGTGTTTGTACACCCATTATTGTCATTCATTTAATTATCTCCTAGGTCTGTTACACAACATTGCATGATCTTAAGAAACGTAACTAGTTGTGCACAAGTGCATGTTGCCAAGCAAGTACTGGCTTAATCGCAGAGAAAAACAACGAAAGCTGACTGAATGAATGAAAGCTGGAAAAACAGATTTAACATGCCTAACATGTTTTGACAACACTTTATGAACACAGGGCAAAAACCCATTGCCACATCCATTCATTTAAGAAGCATTCAGTCCTACACAGCACAATCTAAACCCACTTCCCTCTAAGAGTCTGGATTTGTTCTCCATTAGCAAACATGTATCAATTTATTTTGCTCCTTCCCCAGGCTCTGTTGCACTCTCATGTTTACTTCCTCTTTGGTCTTCTGGTTACAATATGAGAGTCAACTCATAATACTTTTAAATCAAATGTACAACATACCCATACAATCAAAACACAGATAATGGAAGAAAAAAATTACAAACCTGGGATGTAAAACAAAGAGAAGCTCATGGGAAATGTGCTGCAGTGAATAAAACAGATGCTAATTTACATACAAGTTTTTAAAATGGTTGGACAGCACTAACAGAGCTACATCAAATATTTTAGAAACATATTTGATGATGGATGTGTTTTAGTTATTAGTGTGGCTAAATTACTGTCTTAGTCATCATTTCATAAGCTATTCTGTTTTGTGAATAATCACTGCGACTTTCAAACAATCACATGAAACAAAAAAAGCTACAAAGCAAAGTATGCAAAGACCTACTACATTTTGTTCACCCTGCAGCACTGAGTTATACATTCAAACAATCCAGACATGAGAACATCTTTGCATCTATGACCATATCAGAATCATAAAAGTATTTAGCTGAACAATCACTGCAAAATCATTGCAGCATACCAAAAATATCACATTTTGGTGATCAGAATCTCAAGGCAACCTTATGGCATGTTTTAAGGAATGTAACAATACTGAAGGCACTGATCTTCATCCCAGTGCCGCTGAGTCACTGTACAGGATTCTTGTACAAGTCCAAAGATGACTGCAGACCAAAGTTAACAGCATTTCAGCAAAAAAGATTAGCAGTTTGTTACAGCTTGCACTGTCTGTGTAACTGATGGCTATAGTGTACAATCACAAATACATTTAAATAAAAAAACAGTTCTGTATGTAACAGATGACTTTGCATGTAGCACACAGGCTTTAACAGGTTTCTAGTGTATAAGAAAAAAAATGACTCAAATGATGTTTTCATATAAGGGGCGATGATGAACTTTACTATTGCTCAGTTAAGGCAATGGCATGAGAATATTTACTCTTCGTGTGCGTTTTCTAGGCAATAATGTGATGATATTTTATGTTGTGATTTATATTTAAAAAACTGTAAGTGTTTTTAATCATGTGAGTATTATTTTCCCCCATCGTTTTTTGGTTTTACTATAAAATAAATCAGACATTAGTGTTTACTTTTTCCATATTGGCTCATTCAGTGGTTGGGTCGGAGCAACTGAAGATCAAAATTCATGTGTGATAAACTGATTAATGAAAGTGTTGTGCAGAATTTGGATGTTTAAGCATTTTGGTTTTTAGCAGCCTTGAACGATCTTGAATGTTTTACTGTCAGGATTCTGAATCTGAATTTGTCACAATCTTCATTCTATAAGTCTTTGAAAATTTTCATACAATCTTTCGTTTGGAAAACTGGACAGTCAATGAGAAACATGTGTGTCAGTGACCTGGTCCATTGTTCTAAAGTTCACTCTTAATGGCCAAACCGAAAGCTGACACCAGGCCAGTACATAAAGGCACCACTGCACTTCTTCCCCTCATTCCCCTTGGTTTTTTGTTCATTCGGGGTAGACTCATGGTGTCTGAGCTTGGCAGGTATCTGATGGCTGTGTGTGCATCTTCGTGCTGAGGAGAGAATTTATATAAGGCCAAATCCGGTCTGTCTCTGTACCGGAAAATGAGTGCAGGATTCCTTGTGACCTGAGTGAAGAAATGGGAGAACTAATGAGAGGAAAAGCGGGTTGTGGGTACAGTTCTTACATTATCTGGAGGCTGTACCACAAAATGGACAATTTAGAACAGATGCATCAAGTGTATTGACTTTTCTATTAGCTTACTTCCTACACTCCACACATTTCAACTGAACTGACAATAATTTGAGAGTTGGGCGTGTCATGCTAACTGTGACTAATGCAAACTTGACAATGCAGAGATGAAGTAGGGTAATAAGAAGTCACTTATTTCTAGCTCTGTGACCAAACATTCACACACATGCAACTGTAATCTCCAAAAGTTGATTCTGTTCATCTGGACGTAGCGTTTTTAGTGGGAGAAACGTTTCAAGATGTCCAGATGAACAGAATCAACTTTTGGAGATTTACATACCTGGATGATTGAGCATGCATCAAGACATACATGTAATGTTCAAACCCAAGCTGTATTACTTGTATTAAATTATCATACTTTATATTTCCTCTAGAAGCTATTTAAATATGACTATGATTAAACAAATGTCAAAAATAACAAAATATAAAGTAAGATCAAATGAAGTGCAAGTATTTACTGACTTGTACAAATCAATTACGGGTTTTGCCACATCTTTGTAATGTCTCAGTCTGGCCATCAGAGCCTCCGGCTTGTCGTCATCGTGCTGAATCAGTGGCTCTCCTGTGATGTCATCCTTACCCTGAGGAAGGCAATGCAAGGTTACAACAACGCAGCAAAGGCAAACACAACACAAATCAGTGAAATGACATTTGCAAATGGGATTGAAGCACAGTACAATGCACTAATTAGCAAACAACAGTGCATTTGCCTCCGCATGCTGCATTACGTCCATAATATGCAGTCAACATGATACCCATATATTGATCTTAAGGAGCTTACTTTCAGGAATTTTATAGTCGACATAAGATAAAAGTATGGCAATCTGATTCCATTGTAATTAGTTCATGCTTACATGCAGTTGTTTTAAGAGCATTTTAACCATAAGAAATACTCCGTAAAAACAACAATATCATATTTGTGAATCGCTAATGTGCACTGGAGTCTTCATATCTTCACGTCACACCACTATGAGTCACACAATGTTAAATATTGCATATTTAAGATAATGATAAGTCAGTTATATATAAGATAAGATAGTTGTAATTATGTGCTGACTGGGACTTTGGAAACTTAAAAATAAACTAAAGAAAACCAATCACAAAGCTGTGGTGGTGGTGGTGGTGGTGGTGGTGGTGGTGGTGGTGCGGGAGTGTGGCAACAATCCTCCCCCTCATCTGGTTTCAGCCTTTCATTTTGGCAGGTTTCCACCCTGTAGAAGAAAGGCACTAAATCCCTAACAGCTTAAAAAAAACCCCACAATGACACAAAACCCGTTGGGAAGAAACATCCACACAAAAAATAAAAACCTAAATTCCAAACTATTTCAAACTTTGTGGCTATGCTGCCACTTCCAGGCTGCTGGCACCTGCACTCGGGGAGGGTTGAAGCCCATGTTGTAGACTCTGCCGCTGGCTGGATGGATCCAGCGGTCGCTCAGTCTCTCCTTGAGAGTCTCATAGGGGATGTTTAGGCTGATAACCAAGTCTAGCTGATACAAATTGTTGAGGGCCAAAGCCTGTCCGAGTGTGCGGGGGAAACCTAGGCACAGTCAGGGAGAGGGAAGGGAAAACATGAGTCATCGAGTGGTCAATAAGGAAAAACCAATGTTACACACTGAGTTAGCTAAAAGACTAAAAAGTGAATGTGCACTTTTGAAGGTATGATCACAGCTCAGTCAATAGCATGAGTAAGAAACAGTGTACACGTGAAATATTCTGTTTTACAGTTTCAGATGCTGTTATTTCCTCTTGCTAATATCACCAGCTGGCAGAAGGTGTTTACAGTTTTCCTGTGGAATGGCTTGCAGTCATGATATTATATCAGGATTTTGCACTTGTGAATGAATGGGGTGAAAAAACCCCGAAGCTTTCAGTTACACGGCTTTTATCAAGCACCAGCAGAAATGACAAGCCAGCGCCTTTCATTCATGCTGCCAATGCCTGTGTCTAACTGCTGCACCTCCAATCACTATGCTTTCAAACTTCTGATGTTTGCAGACAACATGACCCTTATTGGGGCCATCTCAGGTGGGGATGAGTCTGCCTACAGGGGGGAACTGACAGTCTGACAGCCTGATGTAGAGACAACAACCTGGAACTAAACGGTGTCAAAGCAGTGGAGACAACTGCGGGCTTCAGGAGGGGCTCAGCCCCTATTTTATGCCATGTTTTTGTTATGACACTTGCACATTAAAAATTTGTTTTGGGTGCTTTGATCTTTATCTGGAAACTTTTTCCTTTCTCTTTTTTTACTCAGAAACCACAAGCCAAGAAACCTACGGAACACAAGGAATCGATACAAAGTTTTTCAAGGACGTACGATGGCAGAAGTCAAATCTACAAATGGATTCTGTATTTCTAGTTCTGTTGGCTATGACAATGCACTTTTTTTTTACAGTTGACCTTAAATGTTACATTACACAGTGTCCCTGGTTTGTACCTTTCCTCTGTGTCCAAGAACTGACAGTTCTCGAACACTCCTGTTCTTTTGTTTGGTTAATAATGCACCGTTACAACTCTAACCACCAGGGTTAGAGCTGCCATGCCAGAGCCCACAAATGAATCACAGAAAAGCACTAAATCAAAGATTGCAACACAGAAAGAGACACAAAATACTGAAGACATGCCAAAGACTGGGAGTCTATAGTGCATGTATGTAGCTAGGTAAATGAAAGCATGACATGAACTTTGAATGGTAAAAACCAAATATCCAGTTGGCACCAGCAACACAGACTATCAAAGGCATGATAGAGGCATGATCGAGGAAATGCAGGCGTGTATGTCTGTGTGTGTGTGTGTGTAACCTTGATTTGCTTTCCCTCTTACTCAATTATTTGTTTAGTGATCATGCTTCAAGGTTTGAATTGGTTTAACACCCACTAGCTTGTTTCGTCAATGTTTTGCATTTCTCTTGATGGCAGTGGCTAATATTCAACCTTGAAAAAGACACGGTAACCTGCAAAGTCAGCGCTTTATTCATGTAACAAGTTCTTCCAAAAGTATGAGTATCCTGTATAAAGACTGCTATTAATGACTGACTGATGAAAAGTATGTGATTATTAGCATATGATTAGAATATCATAAAAAAGTGATCTTTTTTGGGGGGGGGG